TTCTATGGTGTTAATTATTTTTTTTCTTACTTGTAATTCTGCATATGTTTCCGTGAAATATGTTAAGAGAAAATTCCCTTAATTTTTTCCACAAGCGAGATAATCATCATTTTTATGTCCGCTTGTGGACCTCATGGTGTGGTAACTAAATTTTCATGCTTGTTTGAGCAAGTTCACGTAATCATATGTTATATTGCGGCTTGCCACTTGCGACTTGCATGATTGATTGGCATGATAAGTGTTCCCGACCCACCATTGATAGGCCTCAGTGACTTGCATTGATTTTAATCAAAAATGTAAACACCATTAGTAAATCGCGTAATTCCAAATAGAATAAATCACGAGGGGTTCTTTTTCCTTCTCGAACAAGAGCACTTTCCGGTTTTTACTGACGGTAATTCAGCAGTGGCAGCATGTTAAATGTGATAAATTCCGCTTACCTGAGGAAAATGGGCCACTCTAGGTTTTCTCGAAATAAAGGAGATGTGTTTGATATATCTTCGTGATATTAATAAACTACTATCGCTAGACTGAGCTCTTTTCTAGACAGCGACAGCATCTTTGATGAACAGAAGCTCCTCATTGCGCCGCGACACATTTCAGCGCTAAAGGAAGAACTGACACGATCTTATTCGAGACTATGAACACAAGAAAATGAATTTGATCTGTGAGTAATTTAGTTCGTAAGCTGACGAATGGGTATCAAAACCGTTCATATCGTAGGCAAACTGACTTCCCAATTGTTTTAATTATTTTAATTTACCAACGGTGGACAACAAAGCATTTATCAAGGTCTTCTTTAGCTTCCTTCACTCTTTCCACGATCTCAAACGCGTTGAAGCGTCACATATGCGCAACCACCGAAGAGATTACCGTCATAAGCAAAAGCACCTTTTTTGATTTAAGGAGGCTCCATAGTGATTTTTGACCGCGCAAGATCTTGGTGCGAGCATAACATGAACAAAAATAGTGTCAACTTGTAAAACAAACACGGTGGCTCGATACGATTGCACGATTGTTATCTGAAAAGGCATCTTAAAAACATTTTAACACTATTTTTATGTGATGGAATCTAGGGTTTGCAGTAACTGCACCCGTAATATTCATAGGCCTTCTAGCTACGCCTGAAAAAGAAGTCAACCGAAAAGAAAACACCGTGGGAAAGATTGCCGAAAGGCGACAGATTCGAAAATCTAAGCATGCTCAGACTAAGAAACTCTAAGCATGATCATGGCGAAGATCTGTTCCATTACGTAATGTTTTGCTATAAAGAAAATAGGGATCTTTCAAGCAAGATTTATCGCGTTTACTTCGGTGGAATTTCCCAAGATTTGCAGGACTGTCAAGCGTATTTGTGCCCTTCCTAGTGCCGTGTCCATAAAACAAATTGAGATGGAGGGAGAAAACACAAAATTGCATATAGCGAGGAAACTGCCATTGTGACCCCAATTTTTTTCGGCTTTTGAATGATCGGTAGGATAATATTCCCAAATTGTGAAAATTTTTAGAGATGTCACCGAAGCAAATTTAAGAAAATCAAAGGCAAAGCCAAATTATCACTGGTGAGCGCCATTCGAAGAGAGAGCATATCACCTTTTAAGTAAGCCGTAACCAGACTCCAAAACAAGACGAGAGGGCGGAAGCCGCTAGGAGGTCTGAGGGCATACCCCCCCCCCCCCCCCCAGAAAATTGTGGAATCTGGAGGTTCAGAGATGCTTCTTTAAGCATTTCCCAAGGCATTTTTCTTCACAAAAGTCAATCAGGTCAAAATCAAGACTAGGCAATTGCCTCGTCTTGCCTCATGCTAGCTACGGCCCTGCTAACTAAGCAAATGAAAACATTTTCCGCATTTTAAATAATTAACTGGCGTGCCTTAACCTTTTACACAAGAATACTTTGTTCTGATGTAACATCATTGGCTATTGCACCGATAACATTATTGTATAATTGTATCATTCTGTAACATTTTAGTTTTTCTCCGAAGACAAAGACTGTGTTGCCAATTATCAGTATACCCCAGTCACCGAAGGAAGCTTAATTCATGTGTTTTGCAAATACAAACTTTCATTTTATCTCTTTGAAGAATATGGAAATGTTAGACGGCAAAATAATTTTTTCCAAGGACATGAAACCTTTTTTCCTCTGTTGGTTTAATTGATAAACTAGTGTGGGGCACCGCACACTAGTAGAAGATATGTACCGAGCCGCACTGCGTCGCTACCGCATCCTGCCACTGAACTTACGGATGTTTATTGGCCTTTCGAGGACTTCTATAACATTTTTGTAAATGTGATTACGTACGTAACGATCGCTAGTGTCAATCAGCTTTATTGACCTAGTTTGTTACTTCAGTAAAGTTCGACTCATCAGGATAAATGTTAATAGAGGTAAAGTATAAGTGAAACAAGTTCGAGTTAACGGAAACTTCAAGTAGCCTGATGGTAAATGACTGAAAAGGTGTAGTCGATTTTTTTCGCAACCTACATGTACGATAACGTGATTTGTTTAAAATAAGTAAACTTCGTTGCACTCGACAGTCCGTACCAGCCCATGTGTAGTCGTACTTCCCCCCCCCCCCCAGGTGGAACGGAGGCGAGGGAACGTCTACGCTAATCGTGTTCCGTGACGTCACTCTAATTATGCAGAATAATGTCACTTGATAATATCTGTTCGCGAAGTGGCACGTGTTCGCGTGAAGGTTATGGAGATAAACAGTAACATTGAGGCGAATTTCGGATAAATTTACAATTCAGCGTCCGAGTTCAGATATGTACTTTTCTTTAAGGATATAGGAAAAGATTGCGAGCAACTTTTGGTATAGAGTAAGAAGAGGACGATTTTCGATTAGTATCGCGCTTTCGAAAACAAGACTTCAGTGGGTTGTCACTAAAAAAAGAAATGACCCAAAAGAGCCTGACTAAGCTAATAGTCTCTGTGGCCTACTGATATAGCGTCTTAGCGTGGCCTGACGTAAGGGTTTAACTGATGAGCTCTCTAATTTCTATAGCTATTTCTTAACCCTCAGAACCAGGTTAGAGCTTCTATTTTGGCGGGTAATTTCGAGGAGTCTATATTCTCATATTAAATGCATGACTTCTAGACTGTTCCTCTCAACGTACCTCTACTGATCCAAAGCCCACAATACTTTCAATATTTTATGATGACCGTGTGATTGAAACGTTCAATTCAAGAATACGAAAGAACTCGTAAATTTATTTGAGATTACAGCTTTTTAAACAAAAGAATGAATAAGAAAATAACTAAAAGCATGCTGTATTCTTCATAAAGCTTATTCACTAGATCATTCGTTATTCATAATTTTGTGCTATATATAAGTAATGATTCGATTTAGCACCCGACCCTCAATAGGCGACGTATTCACGCAGTGTCTCTCACCGTTCAAGCGGAGTGTGGTCCGGCAACAACCAAGGGACTCAAAGTTAATGAAGGTAAAGGTTTACAAATTTAGTCTTTTTAATTGCTCGGGAGCCCATTCATTGAAGGTTCCGGTAATCATTGGTCTGAAAATGCTGTTTTTCAGACATCAATAGCTTTGGAATTCAAACAATAAAATGTTTAAGAAAACGACACAGAACGGGCTGGGTTTTGAGCGAATACCCGCCACGCTATTCCATAGATTAAGATCTTAGAATATGACCCGTGAAGTTGCCAAAATTTGCGAGAAACGAGCTCCTGGGATAAATCGAATCATCATAAAGTACATGCAGCATTATATAGTAATACGTTTAAAATAGTCGATGATGTTCGTTCCTTTCCGTCGTGGTTGTTGTTGTTGTTTTTGTTTTTTTTTGCCCGAGTATCGTTATTTATCAAAGCAACTCAATGTCCTAGATACATATGCCTAAGGAAATCTTAAACCAGGCGTTCTTTACGTAAAGTCTAAGATCATCATCGACAAGTCATTTCATTTTACCACTCTAAATTCTAGGTTGTTGGTAAAAAAACTAAATATTTGATAACTAGTGATAAAGCTTTGATAGTTTGGTTATGGAGACCTACATATAACCTGCACATGCATAACACACCTAAACCTACTACATTAATTTTGTTCGAATTTGAAATTTCAATCTAATATAAAAACGTACCGATCAATCAAACTAAAAAGGGTAAAACAGTAAATGATTTAAACATGGAGCAAGATTAATTTGATTGTGTGATCTAATCGTCTGCGCCTGAGAAGTCCTGAGTGGGTAGTGCCTTCGTACCCGAACGATTAAACAACTCCAAGGAATTTTAGTACTAAAGCTGTTATTGAATTTATGCTTAAAGTCTAAAAAATCTGAAAACCTAACAATTATCAAAAGGAAATAAAAAGTCATCCTTTCAGCTCCATTCTCAGGGTCCTCTCCATTTTATCAACAAGGTGAGAAGAGAAGGGCCTGGGATGGACCTTGTCATTCACTCATTGCCATTTGTCTGACTGTATAGAGGATGCCGACAAATTGGGCAGCTGCGACTGCAAATTTAAAGGAAACATTTCAGGTGAATGCAACTTAAACTCGTTTGAATTAAACGCGCGAATATTCAAGTCAAGATCACCGTAAAATCACGGGCAAAACTAAAGGAGACTGCAAAGCTCACAATCGACCTAGCATTGCTGTGGATTTAGAGCTGTTCCAAGGCTGCATGTAAAGAGAGCTTTTCTCTCAGTGTCATTAGACCAAAACCCAGCTACTCACAACAGCAGTCAGAAGTTAATATCCCAAACCAATGAGGGATTCAACTGAAACAAATACAAGTTCCTTTAAAGGAAAGAAGACGCTAAAAACAATAATTGATTTTGACACTCCAGTTCACGCAGCCAGAAGTCGAGTCGAGTCGAGAGTCAGGCAACTGACCCCTACAGCCTCCGCCACAACTCCTGATACAAATCCAGTTCAGAATTTTAACTAGATACCGTCAAATGGAGGGGAGCATTAAAGCGTTCTTCGTTATGTTAGTTAATTCATAAAAAAACATGTCCTTTTGAGCATACTTACACGCCATTCTGTATCATTGCAATGGCACACTCTCTATGAACCTTGTGTGAGCATGGCAGGATTTGACAACCGCTGAACGCGTCCTGCAAATAAATGTTTCACACGTCCATTAAGTAAAAGTATTAACAGGTATTATCTGTCAGTTTAACTTTTTTAAAATTATTTCTTTTTCCAGCAATTCTATTAAAACGCTTACTTTTGTACTCAGAACCTTGCTAAGAAAAACTCAAGTGCTCTCTTAGTCTGTTGCTAGATCTGTGACTCAAACATTACATTTACAAGATTTTATATTCATTGTCGATAACAAGGATATAATTACAACAAAAGGGAAAAAGCTATTGGCCAATATTTCCTCCTGCAGAGCTGATTTAGTATGCAACCAGTGTCACGGGTGTCTTTAGACAGTTTTTTGAAATCCATACTCCTACACTGGCAGATAGGAAAACGTTCCAATGTATAAATGATACGAAGAGACATTTACCTCATTGGAATCCAGACTTAACGGCTGTGAAAACTGTGCAGCTGCTTTATTTTAATCGAGCATAAACATTGACCTACAAAGCTATATTTTTCGATAGAACACAAAAAATGACGTAATGTTTCACAACGATGTGAGAACACAAAATATTAATTTTACAGTACAACGGGTGACGAAATCCACAAACACTGACAATCATCTACAAGCAGACGCGACAAACAAGAAACGAAGTGAAACGAACAAGACAGAGAAATCCCCTCTAGAAGTTTTGCAGCAACACCGTGTTAGTGCGAAGAGTAAGTCATTACCTCCAAACAGATGCAGCACTCATCATGTCCTGAATTTTCTCGGCAAGAATGTCTTCCTTCCAGTCGTTTGTCCAGACAGACGTTACACACATCACAGTGGAAGGAGCGGTCTTTGAAGATGCTGAAACGAAAACAGGAACATCACTTCGCAGGTAATACTCGAGCAAAACTTAACATGAATCGTAAAGAAATTAAATTTCTAATGCAAAGTGAAAACCCTATATTTCTACTCGATTCGATCTACAGAATGGAATCCTGATTCCTATGAGGGAGCAAAAACTGATATTCAGTCGTGCTCAATACTTTTTTAATGCGATTTCGTAAAGACGGAGGAGAAATAAAATGGCAGTGGTAAATTTCATGTGCGTATCGATCACAGCTTGTATCTCTCTTATTAAGCGTTGCTCTTGCCCTGAGGCTGGCGCCAGACTTTTCTTTCCATTCATACGGTAACACTTGATACCGAAGCAGGCCAATTACCCCCTTACACTTTTGGAAAACAACAAATGGAAAAACGAGCAATTTCGCAGTGAATATCGTTTCACCTACCGGCAGATACCACATTTTGTGCAGTGAAATGGATTTTTGTCTGTGCCCGTGAAGTGTTTACACATAGAGCAGAAATATGCCGAGAACTTTGTTTTACATCTAGCACAGGTTTGGGCGTCCTGGTTGATCTTAAAAAGGAAGAAAGCATTAAAAGCCTATCGCATATAGTCTAAATGTAACTTCTCCATTTCCACATTTATATAATATTAAATAAATGATATGTCTATATACCTCTTGTTGATGGCTACAAACCGAGCACTCAACATAACACGCCTCTCTTGCTTTGGAATTATCATTTGGACACCCAGAGTTGTTATGACAACGATGACAGGGAAAGAACTTTCCACAGCATGGGAACTTGACACGGCAGAGCCGTTTATAATGTTCACAGAGCCATTGTCGATCCTCAGCACCAGCTGAGGTTTGCGTAGGTGTTTCCCCTGCACCACTCATCGGGTTGCTGACTTCTTCTCTGTCATTCCTGCGTTCCGTTTGTCTTGTTTCACTTGCCTCCCTCTCTTTTCTTTCACGTGCTTGTTGTTCTTTCCTGGCCCGCTCTTCTTTTTTTCTTCGTTCTTTTTCCTTCATTGCGTTTTCTTTTACTTCCCTTTTTTTCAAGGTTTTTTCGACAAGGGAACAAGTTTCGGCCACTCGTCGCTCTAGGTCAGCTAAGGAATCATCATTGGAGAGAGACGGTGGTCCTTGGTTAGCAGTGCCCTGATCTTCAACTGTTCTTGTTTCCCGTGTTAGATTTCTGTTCATGGCTGCTTGTGGTAGAGCGGAGATTTCCATTTCAGGGAAGACCAAGCCTTGTGTAATTGAAGTGGTATTAGATAAACGTAGAGGATTTTCATTCATCACTTTAAAATCATAGTTTCTCTTCCGTTGTACTTCAGGATCAGTACCTTGACCCTTCACTTTTCTCTGTTCTGGAAAAGGGTGTGTTTGCGCCAAAGGCGTGTCACCATTGATCAAAGCATGCGGATGTATCACTGCAATTCGCGGTTCATCGCAGGAATGGGTTTGGAGATGCTCCGACCCGTTGCAGGGAAGAGAAAGTAGAGGACGACCAAGCACTGGTAGATCCCAAACTGCAAGGTTATGACCGAAGGAGCCATGAGGGTTTGGACCTTGTGCGTCAGCAGATACTTTTGAACTTTCAGAATGAAATGATGGGGCTTGAAAGGAGTAAGTAGCTTGATAGCCTTGCTCATTAGTGAAACAAGATGACCCTTGATGCCTTGAAAAAGTGTTAGAGGATCCTCCATTGGCGTTTTTTGCTATATTCCCCGTGTCATCGATAGGAGTGGTAATGCTACTGTCATCTGAGTGACGAGCAAGGAAGCAAGGCCTTATACCGAAGAAATTTGATTCTTTTTCATCTATGGTGTTTCGCATGTCATGTCGTGGTCTAACCTTCTCAGGCTTTGCGTCCTTGTCGTTCCAGTAAGTGACCGATTCGCGATTCTCGTAACCTCGGCCCCTGTTAGAGAAAAATGGATCTTGTCCTCCACCCTTTAAGCCTAGAAATTCCCCAGGCCTTGTGTTGTGACTTTTTCCTGATAGATACTCTTGATTCTTGTTTTTCCTCTCTTGAGAAACTTTCAGCGACTTCGAATCGACTTTACGTTCCCTATTCCTTCCGTTTTCATCCGTGGCGTCATTGCACCAACTGACTGAGGCAGCGGCACCATCATGACGCTCCACCTGGTCTGTAATTCGTGGAAGGTTGTCAGTTACACCACCTTCCCCTTGAAAAGGTGGTTCAGCAGATCCGGTTGAGGAGTAACAGGGATGACAATTTTGGATTACAGAACTTTCACACGAAACATTTTTCCTTGCACCATCAACTTCATCATCCATAGACTGCCCTAGCCAATCATCGGTTTGAATACACTTCTCAAGGTTTTCTTTACTCTCGCGTAATTTGCCATCCGTCTGAACTTTCAAAGTTAATGGCGGAACGAGTGGCGTTTGATTTGCCTGTCCTTCCTCTGCATCGTTGCCACTATAGTTGAACTCTGAAACACTGAGATAAGCCATGCTAGATCTTTCTTCCTCTGTATTTGCAAGGTTTGGAACTTCTCTCTCGCGTCTCTCCAATTCTAAACCACACGAATAGACGAAATTCATTGATGATTTACCTTTCTCTGCTGGCTCTAACCTTGACCTTCTGGAAACCTCATCAGTACCTTCACCGGAGGATGATGATGATGATGATGATGACGATGATGAAGATGACGATGGAGGTAATGATGGTGATGAACTTACTTCACTGGATGATGATGTGGGCTCCGCCAGATTTTCAGACTCATGAGAGTCACTGAGCTCTGTTTGAGTACCAAGATCACATGTTGAGGGAATACTCAAGGAATCTGTTTGTGTCGATGATTCCGAAAGGAACGACTGTCCGGAAAGCAAGGTTTTAAGCTGCATTTCTAGCGGCTGGTGCTCCTAAAAAGAGAACGAATCAAAAAGTATAACAATAGCCAAAAATTAACTCCTGATCCCGCTATGGGGTTTAAGGCATAAAGAAGCTGTTCTTTAATTTGAAAGAAAACCAAATTTTAGATTTCTTCAATATAATGCATAAATCCCTGAAGTTAGATGAAAAAGCAGTAAGAAATATTCTCACTCCGACTTTGTCATATTTTTGATTTTGTTTTATTGGTAAGCTGGACTTTAGATTTAGTAGATGAATCGTTGCATAACAAAGATTCATCATCATGGTTGAAAAACAAGTTTCATGCTTACAGTGATGAATGCAACATTCAAAACACTTACTCTCGTTGAAATATTCTTTGCGTTTCCTCTCAGATGTGACGCAATACACCAGGAATTATCACTTTTTGTCTCGAAATGAATGCCAAAACTACGAGCACATTTTTCCATTTTGTCAGCGATGACCATCTCAATAAGAGAACAATTGCACGGTGGAACTTCTTCTCGGACAATCTCTACTTTTCTACGGCTTTGAGAATAGTGAATCAAGTGGGTTTTCACTTTGATGGTGTCTTCATGGCACTGAATTACTATTTGCCCTATGGATGGACCTTGGATTTTCAACACGAGCTGGCTGTCTTTGACTACCACGTTCACAACTTCACCAAGCTCGTCTTCATTGGTTAAAATTTGCTTTAGAAGATTTCCAAATAGAAAATTCGCAATTACTTTGTCTTGGAAGATAAATGCTAGGCTTCCTTCACAAGTGTTCTCTGTCTTGACGAGAACCGGAGATTGCACTTCAGATTCTGAACCATACTTAGCTGCCGATAACACGAATGGCAAAAGGGAAAAATCTTCAGAAATCGAAGAAAGAGTGCTTTCTGCAGAGGCCAGGAGTTCCAGTTCTATGAAATATTGTGTTTTCAATTCTATGCTCTGATGGCTGCATAGGATCAAGTGAGGTAGACTGTCTTCTACTGCATTTATACTCCACACATTTATTTCATTTAGCGCTGAAATATCAACTCCACGAGATATTGGACACTCCACAAGAAATCTGCAAGATCCTTTCCACTGAGTATTGTCAGTTTTGAGTGCCAAAGTTTTGAAAATTTGCCTCGATTTCCTTTGTCCAAAGTTGTCATCTTTATGTAAAGATTTTGTAAGCTCCTTGCCATGAGAGTTACAGGGAGTATCTGCATCGTTTTCTTCAGTGACTTTTCGATGGTTCATCACCCCAAGAGGCGTCGAAAAAATCAGGTCGTGCATAACTTGTTTGCCAAGACATTGCATGTTTGAACTAAAAAACGCAAATCGAAGCTCTTCAACGAGAACTACATGAGTTACCTGCGGAGACTGTTGGTTTGACAGGAAAGAAAATAAACTATGCACATCAGCTATCATAGCATACATTTCCATTTCTACAAACGCCTGAAGGATTACTGCCAGAGCAATCATCAAGTTTGTATTTTCGTCAAAAAAAATAGTTTTGCTTTCCGGTTTAACAAATCTCTTCACTTTGTCCTCAATGAAGTTCTTCAACCGTCCGAATTCATCTTTTAATCTTTCTTGAACTTTCGGGAAGGTTTGACACGTCTTAGATTTGAGATGACACACAACAAAAATCACTTTCAGTAAAATGACTTCAGAACAATCCAAATATTCATAAAACATACTTGCATATGTACACGAGAGAAAGAGAAAAGCGACACTTTGATCCACTCCAACGTTGAACAAACAAATACCAGCTTTGAACCAGTTAAAGCTCAGCTTTGCAGATAAGTTCTTGGAGACGGGGGAATCCACAAAATCATCACTTTCTGAGAGTGCTCCTAGATAATCCCGGAGATCAGTCGGTTGATGCTGGTTGAGAACCCTGGTTATTTCCATACCAAACTCAGAAACCAGAGTTTCAAGTTTTAATTGTTCCTCATGATCAACATCGGGAGATGGTCTTCTTCCGCTTTGTGAAGACAATTCAATGAATTTTGGCTTTAATTGGCACTCAAATGAGACTTGGCAAATTCTTTCCACATTTTCCAGAACTTTCTGACTGTGCGCTAAAGATTTTTCTTCACATCCATCGAGCCATTCTAGCCTCGCAAGACCTGCATTGCATTTAAGAACATCGGGGTGAATAGCACCAAAAGCTCCGGTGAAAATCTCTAATGCATCGGTAAAACATTGCCTAGAGCGTGCGAAGTTTTCCAAGTGGAGGAAAACAAGTCCTTGTTTTGAAAGAATAGAAGCAACTGTTGGGTGATCTGCACCACATCTTTCACGAACAACCGGTAGAAGATAGGAGAAATAGCTACAGACAAGGTCAAGATTACCTTGATAAAGGTGAATGTCGGCCACAGTCTCCATAATTGTGACTGAGAAGTCCAACGAAAAGTTTGTACTAATATCAACAAGTTCATTCATGCCTTGCAAGGTTGAAATCTTAGTATCAATAAATTTCGTGGTCCCACTGGAGGCTTGAAGCATCGAACAAACTAAACGGATTTTTAACAAAATGCAGGTTAACAGTCCCTTGTTTTGATGCAATTTTGTTTCACAAAATGCTTTTAAATTCTCAAATTCGTCCAAAGCTTTTCTAAGATTCCTGTTATCCAAAGAGGTAAGGGCTTCATTGTAATCAGCAACTGCAGTGATTCTTGGTTGCATGGCAAAGCGGCTTACATTAGAAAGGAGATCGTTTTGTAATTGCATGTCAGCTACATAACTTCTTTGAGCCTGGTGCACTAGCCGTAAGTTGTTTGCTATTGTTGATATTTTCTCCTCGACAGTGACACACTCTTTTCCTGTTTTGACTACCTCAAATATCGCAAGAGCTCTTTGAAGACTAACTTTTGCGTTCTGAAAACTTCCTCTGGTAATATACACACAACCTAAGTTGTTAAGGGCAACTCCAAGGCTACTGATAACTGATTCTTCGTCTACAACATTCTCAATGTACACTTTTAACTGCTCAAATACTTTCTCAGCTATATCAACACAAACCGTGGTTAAAGCAGCAGCACCAACTACATTGGCAAAGCGGACAAAGAATTTGTTCTTGGGAGAAGTTTGTGGCAATAAAATTGCTCCAGTTCGCAGACTCCACGCCACATTCTCTATCGATATTTTCTCTGCCTTGTTTACTATCTCTATCTCTTGTAAAGTGGGTTTGGATAACTCACTTGGTAACAAGTCTTGGAGATACTGGTAAGATTTTTGTAATGATTCTTTCACTTGAACTAAGTTCCCTTGTTCCAGATAGTAAACCGTTAATCTAAGGGATTCAGTTCTATCTGGAGGATCCATTTTCCATGCCTTAGGATAGTGAAAATAGCTGGTTCATCTAGACTAAGTTCCTTTACCTGAAATGACAGTGATGATGATATCGATGGTTGTACAGATTATTTACAGATTACTTTGCTCCACCATAATATAATATTCATTCTCATTTAAAACAGTTGGACAAAAATGAAAACATGAAGTAAACCGATTCTTGAAAGAGTCCTCTATGGTTTTATTCTTTTATATGTATTAAGGGACTAGTCGCTGGAGAATTAGTCGTGAAAAACAGAGTGTAAAGGAGGACTTAAAAAAAAAGGTTGAATGTAAATCAACCAAACAACCCCCCTTTCCCGTGATAAACATTGACAGGTCCTTAAACGACAGGTCCACAAATCCACGTGACTTACATGTCTAACAGTACATTTCGCGTGACCTTTGGTTAAGTTGTCTCCCCCCCCCCCCCCCCCCCCCCGTAAAACAAAAGAAAAGCGAAGGCCTGAAGGAGAAATACTTTTCTGTTCAAGCCGCCAGGAAAACAATATGCGTTTACTGTAGGGGTAGAGTTGACTAAACTCGTATTTGGCGAACAAAGACAAGGGTAAGTTTTTTCGTCCGAGCCCGTCCACGATTAGAATCCCACTACTCAGTTGTTACGTGACGTTGGTAGCGAGCCCGTTGGTTATGGAAGTGAAATGGATATATTTGTCTGGGCAATAATATTATCCTTATGTACATACCGTTCCGTCACCCCATGTCGTCCAACACTCCTGAGTTTGTTTACATTTGGATCAGTTGACAGGACAGAACCTACAAACACGAGAAACCGAGCGAAAAGCTTTACGATGCTCTTGTTTGAGAAAGAAAGAGAACCCCTGATAGAATACTATACAGTTTAAGAACATTAGCTCGCTGATTCTTATTTGGATCGAACGCCATAATATGATTTACCAATTGTGTTTATATTTAGTCAAGTCAAAGGGGAATCCATGGGCAGTGGATCGTGATCAATTAGTACGCTAATCAATCATTTTATGATTCAATCTACGCAATATAACATATGATTACGTGAGCTTGCTGATATTTTAGCAGAGTATGAAATTCAATTGCCACTTTACATGGTTCACAAGTGGACATAAAACTGAAGATGATCACTCGCTTATGAAACACTTAAGTGAACTTTCTCATAACATATTTTAAGAAAGCAATCGCGGAAACATACGCAGAAGTACAAGTCAAAAATTAATAACACTATACTAAGCGTCTGTTACAAGTTTTAAAAGTTTATTAACTCGTTCATCCGTTTCCCAGAACGCATCAGCAACTTCCGACCCAGTGCAGTTACAATTCACTAATTAAGAAAGATCGCACATACACAGTTTCTTAACAAGTCTACAGCTCATATCCCAACCAACGGTAAATTGGCGCAAAATGTTCGTTCTGTAATGTCGTTCTTACAGCTTCAACGCCACTGTAGAGATGGAAGTAAAGTGAATAATAATGTAAATACGAAAGTAACAAATAAAGTCTGTGGCTTTTCGGAAGCTTTCGCAGCAATCTGACAAAGTAAGACCATAAGCAATTTACTCGAGGTCTTTCAATCAATTTTCACCTTCAGCACATAAATTTGAATTTAAAAACTGCTTCACTCAGTTTTTGTTCAGCATCGTTGCATTGACTACCACCATTCGAATTAAAAAAAATTGGAAGTGACTCTACGAGTCACTACGATTGTTTACGATTAGATGTTAAACGAGAACAGTGAACACTCGTTTTGGCTGACCGAAAAAAGTTGCATTCGGAATTTTGTTACACACAGGATATTATTGTTTCGTTTTCTCAGAAACAAAACGAATCTACTTTGACCTCAGGGCGATATAATTACCTCTATGGAAAAGTAGCCAGCTGAAGTATAAACGACCTTAAGCAGGAAAAACAAACTTGTAAAAATAAGATCCTAAAATGCATTAAACGAAAACACTAAAGACATAAGCGAATATATCACAAAAAAAAACTCTGGCCATTCAGAGATTTTAGTTTCTATTGCAGTTGTATCATTCTACTTGAAAAATGCAAACTTTTCTCGTTTCACGTAAGTTAGCAATGTAAAGACCTCCGCAAGTGCTATGGGTCGTAACTAAATTGAGCCAATGGTTCCTTGGCAAGAAAATCGGTAAAATAAAATATAATATATCTCGTCCTAACGTCACCGACGTAGAAAGCGAAGTTTAGCGGCACGAACGAAACAATATTTTTATATTCTTTGTATACATATAACTACTCGGAGCGACTTTGCACTGTTCGATCGAGAGGTAGCAATATACGCATGTTCTATTTTGGTGGTAAACCATTTTGTTTAACTCTTGTTTACTACGATCATGTGATTGGAAGTTTCTGCACAAGAAACATTCATCGAACAAAGTGCGAGTCTAGGACTGTTCTGTTAAAGTAAACAAGCAGATCGTCAATGATGTTAATGAGATCTCCTCAGCTCACCTCGCTAGCCTTTATAAATTGCGTTTCTTCATCTGGTTGATGTAGGTACCACCAGAGGTGAACGGGCTACGAATGATTTGGTAGAGAATTGAAAAACACGGTTTCTCTTGTAGGGTTTTGGCCTCGCTTCCTGTTGACTTCACGATTAATTAGACATTCACATTAAAGCGGGGAAGCCCCGCGGATGTTTTCGGGTATTAGAGCGGAAGACCTACTTCTTCGATGAAATCAGCTTTCATAAAATATTTTGCAGGATTCCTTTTTCGCTTATGTTTTGTTATCTCTTTTACCAAGAAAAAAAGTCCAACAGAAGGCACACTTTAAGAAAAGCCAATCTAATTCCGGAACGGTATTAATTTGTTTTTTAAGTCTTCATCTCTCCGTGAACTTGCGATAAACCTCCGAACAATCTCAGAAGTCTCGAAAGATTGGACAGATCGATAGTACCAGCAGTCTTTTATGTTACCTCTCGTCGGTCTGTTTGGTGGTAAACAAGGAGAAGGCATTCCACGAGAACGAAGTTTGTAAACAAATAGAATCCGTACATCTTTATGGTGACATCTTTTAGTGATCCCTTGCCTCGTAAATCTGGAAACTGGGTCGAGCAACTGAAGTCGAGGCTCGCATTCCTACAGAATACATTTTTATCAAAGCAAAGATTAAATGGCTGCTTCAATTTGGACACCAGAACACTGTTAACACTGTCACGTATTGGCAGACGTTTTCACTGAGATTGGAGTTTGCAATAAGTCTATGACGGACATCAAGGGGAAATGATAATCAATTTTGGTTCGAGTTGACGCGATGTCAAGTTTGGGAGGGTTCGAATCATTACAAGTCGACTGGAATTGTAACAGTAAATCGGTAACAGATTGGACATGAAAGTAGGTACAATTTTGTAGATTTAACACCAAAGATGAAACTGATGTGGTGAGATAAAATTCTCTTGAGTATGACTTTAGGGAAAACGGAAGAAAAAGCGAAGGCGCTCTCTTTATCTGAGACAATTAATTTTACAAATACACTCTCTCCAGGAGACGCTCTCTAAAAATAGAATCTATGTTGACGAGAGATTTGGCCGTTAAAATTAACTTTGCATATTCAAGGCCTGAGAAATTTTGGCTTACTAGAGAAGCTAAGCTTCATGCTATAAATGTTTAACTTGACCGTCGTAAGGAGAAGTATATACACACATACGTGCCTCCCTTTTCCGCTTAGGATTTCGCGTGGCGGGTGCTCTGTAAGTTTTGCTTGGTTTATTTTCACGGTACATTTATCGCCTCTTTAGAGTGACGGTAAATATATTAATTCATTTGGAGTTTTGTATTAGCTGTCATTTGTCATATATAAAATTTGCCTGAGCCATATACATACAAAATTGGAGTTATCTTCCAGGTCTATTGGAAAATTGTTGATGGTGAAAGAGATAATTACATGGCCATGTGTATGAGTTAAATTTTTTGATAAGTTGTAAACAGTCATTTGTTTCTGGTAAGACATTGAACAAATGGACGATCTCTTTTCGCTCAAAAGCAAGAATAACTGATTTAAACAACAAGGATGAAACATGTTGTCAGCCGGACTTCAGACTTCCATATCGATATCGATTTGATAACAGAACCAAAATATGTATTAGCCTGAAGAAGTTTTGAACACAGTAATGCTGTATGTGTCTGTTGAAGGCTTATATGTAACAACTGTCCTAAATGTAATAAAGTCCTAAATGTAATACCACTTGGTCCTAAATGTAACAAGCCTCCAATGCAATCGTCTCAACTCCGCCAGTGCATTACGTTTATGTTTCATATAAGGCCGAAAACAGTCACACGAGTGAGATATGATGAACATTAAAATGCTTGTTTATGTTGAAGACTGTAAATGATGTTCCGGTCCCCAAAAACTCACACAAAAATGTATGCCTTGTTTTCTCTGAGATGCATGTGAGTAAAACTAATCGTGTGAACCGTTTTTTTAATGGTATACTAATTGATTTAAAGAATTAAAAAGAAACAAGGTTTGCTCAACGCACTGATCTCCTTAACGATCAGACATTAGATAAAACAGCAAGACCCGACGAAAGATTTGCCCAGCAACGTTGTATTGATTGGTTGAACTGACTGTGAAAAAATTCTTGAGTTCAAATAGCAAGGAAGTTTTGATGATAATGAAAATAGTAATAGGTGCAGATCCGACTGAAACCATTTCACGAGCCTGTGAAATATTCCGGCAGTTTTCTTTGAGATCAATGTAATACGCTAATGTTTGCATTTGTGAGATTTATTGTTTTAGCTGTTATGGCTATAGCATTACTAACACTATAGGATAGGTCTGTGGCCTATAAAGATCGTGAAAACTCCGCAGGGAACAGGAAACCCTCTGTTTCAGCAGATGACGTCTACGAATTTTGCACGTCAATTTTATTCAGTGTCAAATGATTTTAATAAAGCATTTGACTTAATTTTTAAGAATGACTATCGAGGTGTATTCAATTTTGAACCTGGGATATTGCATTTTTAAACCCTCTATGGCGT